AAAAAGATAGCCCGTCTTCAGATCTTTCGGAAACAATATGATTTTTAAGCTGACACCCCGGTTTTCGGACAAGATTTTTGATGATTTCCGTCAACGTCTTCTTGAAAAATATGCTTATTTCGAAAAAAACGAAAAATATTTTTCGTTTTCTCTCAGTTTAGGCTTTTTGAACCGCGCAATCCATTTTTCTCTGTCCAGGCTCATTCAATATATTTAAATTTGTTTTTGTTTGAAAGAGCACGTCAAGATGCAGTGCAGTACAGAGCCCTTTTTTTAAATTACGCTTGTTTTTTATTATATATACAGACATTTATGTAGCTAGACACCCATTTTTGGCGCGTTTTTTGAGTCATTGAACTTGTGATCCCTTTTTCCGCTAAAAAAGTAAGAATTTAGAAAAAGGACTCTGCACTGCATTGCATCCTGAGATGCTCTTTCAAGCAAAAAGAAATTTAAATATATTGAACGAGCCTGGACAAAGAAAAATGGATTGCCAAATGAGCTATTTTTGACCCTTGTTTGGTTCATATCTCTGTCAAACATCAAGGTATCGAGCTGAAAATTTTACCACAGCCTCCTCACTTCAGCCTCAACATATGCTCCAAGTTTCGGCCCATTTGAACTTTCCTGAGCTGAGATCGATTTTTGAGTGAGGGGGGGGGGCATAACATTCAAGACTACATTATGTGCATATTGATAAAATCAAAAATGATTTCCGATGGAAAATTTATTATAAACTCAGCTCAAAAATAAATAGTGTCGGCTTGTACCTTATTTGACAACTGATCATTTTACTATTATTACTTAAAATTAAGATTTCTTCCAGAAACACAACTTCTTTTGATAATTGTTTCGAATTTGATCAATTACTTTGTTGACACGATTCAAAGGATGAAGATATTCATTTGTTGTTGCCCCATTGAACTTTGAGATATTTCTTATCGACGGTAAAATCAAACATCTTTCAGCCCCTCCCCCCCCCCCCCCCCCCCTTAATTCTAAATATTTGATTTTTGATCCTTAAATTTTTCGCTTTTGCTTTGTTTGTGCCTAAAATTTGTAACGCAGAACTTTGAGGAATGTCTATATTTCAATAAATAACACGAAACATGTCGGCGAAATTAACTCTGCATTTCTTTTTATTCATTATTTTATTAAGTACATTATCTATAATTTAAAATTCATTTGACTTGATCGATTTCTGAAAAGCAAGAGTTGAAATCAGCAGATTGAACTTGTCTTCTTCGTTAAGAAGTAGGTCAATCTGTTTTTTGATTGATTTACGTCCATTCTCGCACACACACCCAAGAAAAACTGATCACAGATTTGAATCTCCCGACTCTGATTACTCTTGGTAATACTTGATAAAAAATCGTCACATAAATATAGGTGTACACGTAATTCTACACGTGCAAGCAAACAAACTCATTTTATTTTATATAACATTAATTACCATGCTTCGTTGACTATGATAGGCTCAGTGAAATGAGACATAATTTCTTGTCTTTTTGCTCGATCATTTGATAGGAAGTATATTAAAATAACTATTTTCTGATAATAAAAGTAATGATTGACGTATGTGAATAAGTCATGGCTTGTCAACAACAAGAAATTCGTTTCATTGAAAATTTTATTATTATCTGGATGGACTCAAAACTTCGTCGCAGAAGTAGAACGGATGATAATATTCAAACATAGATTATAACACTCCGACATATTGTCAATGAAATCAGAATATTTAATACGTGTGAATCATGTATCGATTTTACTGGCAATAAAGTGCAAGAAGAAATGATCTTTTTGATTGTTTCGGACTCGTTGGGACGACAACTAGTGTCTAGCATTGAATATGATATTAAACTTGAGTCGATCTATGTGTTTTGTTTTAACAAATTCAAACATGAACAATGGGTTAGAAAGGAGCAACATCGAAAAAACAAAAGTATCTTTACAGATATTCAAGATATTTGTAATCAACTCAAGAAAGATATAAAACATTGTCCACACGAATTGACTTCTATTGAGACACTCAGTTCACAAACATCAAGGATTTCTAATCATCTTGATGCATCATTCATGTACTCACAATTACTCAAAGATATTATACTCAGTATAGAATATGATAATGCAACTCGCGAACAAGCGGGAAAAGATATTATTGATTTTTGTCGAATTTACTATGCTGGGAATAATACAGAATTGTCTGTAATCGAAGAATTCAAGTAAAATTATAGCAATCCATCTTCTATTTGGTGGTATACACGTAAATGTTTGATTTATTCAATCCTAAATCGAGCTTTATGTAAGCAAGATATGGAGATTTTGATCAAGATGAACTTCTTTATTTATGATCTTCATCAACAACTTGTACAGCTTCACAAAAACAATGAACAATGATCAGATATTGACTGTCTATCGAGATCAAGGGTAAGTGATCGTACATCATCTTCTCTATCGTTATCTAGAATTTGACCAATCGTACAAATGATACATTTCTTCGATAAAAATCGATACTTGTAGGAAAAGAACAAACTTTCAACTTGAAATTGTAAATGGGAACACGTCTAAATAGACCTTAAAAAGCAAAAGATGGATTCGAAGAACTGTGAAAAATTGAGAAAAGAATTTTCTTTCGTTCATTCTGTACGAGGGTGTGGGTGTGGGTGTTCTCTTAACTCACACCCATACCCACCCAGCCACCCACACCCACACCCACACCCCACCCCACCCTCTTTTACCTTTTCAAGATAATCCTCAACAATTTGTACCACATTTTGACTTGATTAATATGAGTTTATAACAAGATTCAACTAAAACAAACAAGTTTTTATATATGCGAATGAATAAAACCTCCGGAACTAACTCCTCACTGCGTCCTATGGGGCAAAAAGAGGACATCCGCAGGGCCTAAGGAGCGCTTCCTTAGTGCGCTCAAGGATGAATTTTTTTAGACAGATTGATCAAAATCAATCTATCGTGAGCTTCACTTTTCGAGTACATAAAAATATCGTTGGCTCTATGGAGAACAAACGAATATCACACAGACACACTATTAAGGTATATAGCTTTTTCATGCTTTTTCGCACGTGTGATATTGAAGAAATATTAAGCACAGCATACCTACCCCTATTATTTTGCATCATTTTATAGCTCTTGACGAGTTCTATCTGCTCTGAAAAAATTAGTATTGGTAATATGAAAAACAAGTAACGCGACGCAAACGTCGCTAACCCTCTACTGAAAGGATGTGATTTCGTTGAACATATGGTACTCCCGAAGAAGAAGATCACAGAACTAATATGCTGCTATGCATCTATAAAAAGATAAATAGTTCTCATCACCATGGCTCGCTTGCTAATTGATTGGGTTTGATTTAACCATTGTGGGGTGTGGGTTGGTGGGTGAGTGTGGGGTGTGTCTGAGTATGGATGAAGTGAAGACACATGCCCACACTCATACCCCACACCCATACACACAACCCATACCCACACGTCCCACACACCCACGCGCATCCACACCCCAAGATGGTTAAATCAAACCCAATCAATTAGCAAGCGAGTCATGGTGACGAGAACTATTTATCTTTTTATAGATGCATAGCAGCATATTAGTTCTGTGATCTTCTTCTTCGTGAGTACCATATGTTCAAGGAAATCACATCCTTTCAGTAGAGGGTTAGCGACGTATGCGTCGCGTTACTTGTCGTTTTATTTCGAACAAGGATCATTTTAAGAATTGAATTCTTTTACCTGCTTGTAATAAGTTATCAAATCAATTAAGATATGTATGAAAATGTTTAAATAAGTACAATGATTTTTATGCAGCGGTAGACCTTCAATTGCTGATTATAAAAAGAAGTCCAACACGAAATTTTGTTAGAAGTCAATTAGATACTTTAATCATATAATAGCTGTATATATTGTTTTTCCAACTAAGCTCTTTTAAAAAGTTATCATAATGTTTAAATTGTGACATGAAGTACTGCTGCAAACGAAAGGTTGTTACAAAACAATTAGCTACTTAATCATCAAGTAGCTGTATATTATTCGAAAAAGTATTTCGTTTGAGAAGCTACGGTTTCAACATGATTATATTTCTAAACATTCTTCATCGCTTCAAATAGTAGCATCGGTTAATCAATTTTTGCATCGCATAGTAAAGTTTTCAAGTCAGTATTTTGTACAACAAAAATGCAGCACCAAGGTGTAAAACGTTAATCGAAATCTGTTGAAGACTTATTCATAAGGCGATGAAGAATAATCTTTTCATTCATGCCTTGCATGAGTACAATCTTTTCTCTAAATCTGCTATTGAAAGATTAAAGATGTTTACTTGCTTGTTCATAAAATTGTTTTCGAGATTCAATTTCTGATGTTGAATGAGAAGTCATCACTGTACTTATGATACGATTACATATGTGAAAATGAATGTTCTGCTTTTTTATTTACAGTTTATGTAAACGAATAATTATTTTTTTCTATTGATAGTCAGATCAACAATCAATAAAAAAAATTTTCCTTTTTCGCGCCTACTAAAACTAATTTTACCTAAGTTTAATTTTGCCTAAAGTTTAATTTTGCCTGGGACATATGTGTATATTAAGGCATAAAATAACATAATTTGATATTTTCTTTTAAAGATTAGACTTATCAATGGACAAAACAAGAATCAACTTAAGTTTATCTGCTGTATCATGATGAGCAAATGGAAGATAGCATGGAGTATTTCTATCACTTGTATTCAATAAACAGTCGATATCACATATGTATCATTTGAAGATGTTTTATCAAGATAAATAATAACATCTTTTTTCTTAGTATTCGATGTTGAATGAACACCTGGTAGAGTAAAAACATTAGTTGTCTCTGTTTTTTATCATATTTCAACTAAAATATAAATCTCAAATAGCAGACTCATCTTATTTTAATACAATAGCTTACATGGCAGACAAGATTATCATCTTCCTTTCGAGCTTGTTCAAGAAGTATTATTTGAATAAATTATTTTCGTCTTCGAATAAATCTCAAATTAATATTATTTGATTTCATTTCACTAAGATTTTTCAAAGTTAAATTATAATTTGCTGCAAAATTTTGAATCCTAGAATTCGAATCATATAAAATTGAACGAATAAATGAATTTGTATTTGACAAAGGAATATCAATAGCAGCAACAACTTCTAATAAATATTCCATTCGATTACATAAATCTTTTTCTAAAGATTTTAATAAATGATATTCAATATAAATAAATAAATCAATTAAAGATGAACATGTTGAATAATGTTGAGAAGAATAAATTGAACGAAAATGAGTTAAATAACTACGAACAATTGATTCAACAAGAAACATTTCACCTTTTTTTGTTAAACAACTTTTTTCATTTGATAAAATTATTTTTCAAAATAAACGTTCAAATATTGGGAATAGATCATTATTCATTGATTGTGATGGATCAGCTATATGTTTACCTAGATTTAATGGATCAGCACTTAAAATATAAAATAAAACAAATAAAAAATAAGAAATAAAATATAATTTACTGATTTTATATAATTAATCAATATTTGTTCATTTTCATATTGAATATAATTTCTATAATCAATCATATTCATTTGATTTGTATCAAAACAATGTTTTGATGAATATAAAAATCATTTTCAATAAAACTATTTAATTAAAAACAAAAACGAAAAAACATTTAAAAACAAACATATTTAAATAGAAATTACTTCATTGAATTATTTGAGAAAAAACTTTTTTGTGATAAGATAACAATGAATCTTAAGAATTTGTTTAATTTGTTTTTATAAATTTGTAAATTTTTTTTTTGATAAAATTTTTTGTTCTAAACGAAGATGAAGAGATGATTGAGTTGAATCACTTAAATAAACTTGTAAACATCGTTGAATTAACCATACTTTCAACAAAATAAGTCGAAATAAATTCCTAAAAAATGTTTTATGTCAAAACTTACGCGGTACTTTAGATGCATATGAAGGATTACAAATATGCCAAATTTTATCATCAATTGATGATAAAATAAAATCCTAAAATAAAATGATTAATTTGAAAAAATTTATTTTATTTTTCAATTTATTTTTACTCGAATTTGTAAAAGATCATCATTAAATAAAATGATGTCTGTTATAATTAACCAACAATCTTTTTTACTTTTAATAAAACGATTAAGATGTTTTTTACCAATTGATGAAACAAGTCGAAGAGATTGTTTCGTTTTATTGGCTAAATTTCGAATTTCATCAATTGAATCAACAAAAGTAGATGAATCTAAAATTTATTGAATAATTTTTATTAATGAACAATCATATTATTGTTAACTTGTTCAATCAAGGATTATATTATTCATCGATTTAAGAATCTCACTCTTCGTAATTCGATAAACGTCATCAATAGGTGATAACGATTTATCATGAAGGAGACCACCATGATGATAAATCAAGAATATACGAGTTAATTCAGAAATCTAAATAAATGAAATAGTAAATAATATTTAAAAAAAAAATAATTTTCTAGAGACTTTTTCAGGTTGTAAAATAATCGAAAGAATCAATCGATCAATAATAGTAATTGTTGCTGCTTTTTTTCTAATGGAGGTTTATTAATAAAATCAAGTTTAGTTGTTGAATATAAATATTCTTTCCATTCATGTTGATAATTAATTAAATTTTGAGATACATTCGGATATTTTTTTATTAATTTCATCGGAAAAACAACTAACCATGAATGGCTATTTATAAATGATGGCCTTTTTTGATTAAGACAATTTAGAATTATTTTTGGATTAATTGGATTTAATTTATTAATAATAATTTCAAATAATTGAATATTTTCAATATAATCTTGTTTAATAAATGCAAATACAATAAGAAATTATTGAAGATAGTCATTTGACATAGTTGATCAAAGATAAGAATAGATTGATTCAAAACAACGAAGATAAGTTTCTCTTGCTTGAACTTTACTAATCATATCTAAACTCAATTCTTCATGATAAATTATTTGTTACAATTTAGATCAACCATTTTATTGAAATTTTTAACTCAATATTAGAATCTCTTAATAATATATAAAGTTGTGATAAATATTTAGCTGTTTCTTTATATGCTTCACAACCTGTTCTTAAACATAACATTTCACGTTGAACTTGATATTCATTAAGAGAATTTTCAATTATAATTCGATCATTATGAAAATTATTTAATATTATTAATAATTCTTTTGAATCAATTGTTAAATTTTCTTTTGTTTCAAGTATATCAATTAATTTTTCCTAAAAATTTATTTTATTTATTTTATTAGAAACAAAAATATTTTTTTTCTATATAACTTACTCATCCTTGAAATTTTTCATTTAATGAAATTAAATGATTTTGTTGACTTGAACGAATTTGTTGAATAATATTACTTTGACATTTTAATTCAATAAGACGAACCCAAAGATCCTTTTCAATTTTATTTAAGCTTAAACTTATATCAATTAAACGACTTTTTTCATGAAATATTTTAAACCGAAGACTCACACCCAAGAGAAAAACATTTTCAAAAGAACAGAAAAGTGTGCTAATAAAAAAGGAATATCAGTTTATCTGTCATATATACATATTTATATATATATATAACTGATTTTCCATTTGCTTTAAATTTATTCAAATTTCACTTATATTAATCTGAATGAATCAGTTCATATGAAGAGAAAAATGTTATACAGAACAGAAAAGTCCGCTGACAAAAACGAAATATCCTCTTGTCCATCATATAAATAGATATATAATAGATTTGTCTATTTGATCTAAATTTATTCGAATGTTTCTATATTTATCTGAATGATTCAATTCATATGAAAAGAAAAATCCTTTACAGACCAGAAAAGTCCGCTAAAAAAAGAAATATCCTCTTGTCCATCATGCACATATTATATTTATGTGTATATTGTTATAATGTTACACGAAGAATGTTACATGAGCTTAATGTATTTATTAAAAAATGTTAATATTCAATAGAATGTTTCTTTCCGATATATATTCCATATACGAAGACGTTTACTATCATTAGCAATTGAAAGAAAATGTCGTTGATCAAGCCAACTAATTGAATGAATCTAAATGACTTCAAAATACAGATATACATATATATATATTCATCATTTTCTTTTGTTTTTTTTTGTTTTTACAAATTTTTGTTGAATAATAAATCATGTTGTTTTTAGGGATAGTTTTAATAGATTCTATCACGAAATCTTGATTTAATTATCAAGATTCTATGTTGTTTTGTTCTATTTTCAGTAGAAAAAATTTAATATTAATGACATTAGACTATCATATATTAGTACATGTTCATATATCATTATTCAAGTTTAGAATAGTTGATACTGTAAAAATTCAAGTATCATTAGTTAAAACAACATGAAAACAATAAACTATAGATTATTCATGACTATAGAAATCCTAGAATCTTATCAAAATTTTCAATGTGAGAATGGTGCCAGGCAATTCTGCAATTTTGAATATAAAACAAAAAAGAATCTATTTGATTTCGTTTATAAGAAGAACATTAACAAATTTTATATGATAGTTCATATTGAGTTAAAGGAT